GTCCTTCATTCGTATATTCTGATTTCCTTGTCCTCCCCTCATTCTTATAATAGTCAACAAAAGTAACGATACACAAGTTTGAACTCCAATTTATCATAAAATATAAAAAATAGGAAAACCTGGTAAATTATTCAATGAAAAACATTTGCAAAGCAATTGCATATGATTAAAAGAATCTGACCAAATTGGAAAGTGAGAAAATACCATGTTATTGAACACAGGGGTCAAATTTATTTTGCGGAAAATAATGACAAAAGTCGGCACTTAATTTGGAAGATGAGAATTAAGTATTCAAATATCTGCAAAGGCATTCAAAATTTTAAGCAGACCATGTTTAAGTTTAAAGTTTTAAGTTCTAATATCGATTTTTGAATTTTTGGGTGAAAATATGATTTTTGAAATAACAAAAATTGCAACAAAAAAAAAATCGCGTATTTGCCTTAAATCAATAGTTTTGATAAGAAAATAACACTCTGTAAATATAAGACCAATTGGGCAAATATTTACCTTGGAACAGTGTATCCAAATTCATTATATATGGAAAATGCATTGTCTTGTCTTTCTTTTGTTGACTAGTATATTATAAAAGGCCTTCAAAAAATATATATAATGGTTAAGAACTGTGTTGCTTCATGAATGAAATTAAAATTAATGTTTCTATTTCGCAAGCATATAAATGAATTTCAATGTCTATACGTTTCCGTTTTTTACCCTGAGAGCCAATCATATCCATGTAAAATTAGCCTTTCGCCTCTTTCACAGAAACAATACAACAATATGTGACAACCTGTCAGTATCGAAAACATTCGAATATGGTAAGAAACCACCGACGGAATTCTCAACTTAAAACGTAGAACCAGTTTTGCTAACACGAAATAACTTAAATCTTCTAACTGTACATGTAGTAACAGTATAGAATATTATAACACAAAGGATCAGACGAAATATAGTATTTTGAAATTGGTACCGTTTGCATGTTTATCTTCAAGAAAAAAGTATGAACATATTGTTTTATGAATTATATTAGAAAGACATGTTATTTTATTTGCAACATATATATAGTTTTTTTTAAATCTTGGGTCCTCGGCTGATCTCCAATTTCAATTTTATATGAGCAGATTCTTTTTATGAATTTCTCATCTTCTTCAAAATCAAATGAACAAAATCAATAGTTCTTTTATTGTGGACATTGTTCAGAATTATAGAATTAACAGGTTTATAGTGTAAACATGTGTCCTCAGTCTCTCCAAATATAAAACTCGACCTGTCATTTATTGCAATAGTCTCTAGTTTACTTGTTGTTTTGGCGACGCACATGATTTCTGAAGAAAAAAATACATAATTTTACTTAACGGTTCATTCAGAAGACTTTCTACATGATAACATTATTTATATATACATAAAGGTGTTACATGTTGTAATATTTGCATCTTATGGTATAAGAAAATACTACTCATGTCTTAGGTACGAATGTCCAATCAGTTGCATTGTATAACGTTCGATTTGTCATAAAATGTAATCAGTTCATTTTTTTTTCTTTTCTTTATAATTAATTCTAAATTATATTGGTTTTCCCAGAAAACACGAAAAAACTACGGCAATAAATACTCTTAAGTGCAGATTAAATTATTCACTTGCGATTATAAAAGAGGCAAAAGATACCAAAGGGACGTCAAACTTTAAACATTAATCATTTTTGATACACCTTTGGAAGTAAAAACGGGCATTACTGCTTTTTATTTATTATCAATAGAAGACACTTTTTTCATACTTTTAACACTTTAATAGGACTATATGTTAGAATTATTTTTTCACATTTCCAAGAAACACGATAATTTCGTAAAGCAGCAAATCCTTGTTGACCAATGTGTATTGTAATACCGTATCTTCAAGGTGTGTTTTCATCGGGGTTTTTTCTGGATTTTTTTTTACGAACATTTTAGTCATATTTGTATGAAAGCTTTAGACGTTTTTTGGGAAGTTAAGGAAAGAAATGTGTCAGTCTTCAAATTATAATCGGAAAGTTCACGTGAAGTAACTCATTATTCGACTGCGTTAAGTGTTATTAGATAAATTTAAAAACAACCTAATACTTTAAATATTTAATGCATCTGACTCGCTGTTGTGCATTTACCTTAATTAGAAACGCCCTACATTAAAAGATGACAGCTGTTGATTCTTATATTTCTGGAGCTATATGACTGTAAGGTATTTTTAAAACCATCCTAAGTCATCTTTTTTTAAGTTACGCTTAAAACCAAACTTTTTAAAGCCTAGAATATACAAATTCTAAAAAATGTTTATGACCAAAAGGAACCAACAACGTTAGGGACATTATTCTACATACAGTCATTGTAGTTCGATGGCAAAAAGTAACATACTTGATCTATTTTTTTATAGTCTTTCTTGTTAATATTCTGTCAATGGTGATGATACTTAGACAAAACAAACACCTCATTGAGCACAGAGACAGGTTCCCACTAATGACAAGATTCAATACACCTTTTTGTTCAATTGTACTCCAATCACCCCCAGTTTTTTGGTTCGTGTTGCTTAGTCTTTAGTTTTCTATGTTCTGTCTTGTGCACTATTATTTGTCTGTTTGTCTTTTTATTTTTTAGCCATGGCGTTGTCAGTTTATTTTCGATCTATGAGTTTGACTGTCCCTCTGGTATCTTTCGCTCCTCTCTCTTCTAACTAATTCTTCCGAAATATGTTAATCATTTGTGAAGTGTACAGCCGTTAAACTCACCTTAAATTCGATTTTTTATATCCGTTTTTAGTTTATCAAAGATGTACCACGCATTCCTTTTTGATACTGCCGGTCTTGTTTAGTTTATAATCGTTTAGTTTCCTTTAAGTAATACATTTCTGATTTACTTGTCACTTGTGTTTATCCAATGAAATACAGTCAAATAAAAACATCTAAAACAAAGCAACCTCATTGATTTATATAACTGCACCGAAGTTTACAATGGCGAATAATAAAGACATTTTCATTTAAACACCCTTTTTTTTTACAATTAATTGTTATGTTCTGTGATGTATGTTAAAAAAACAACAAACAACAAACTGATATCCTTTTAAAAGAATTTCAAACTTAAACGACCGTTTCGATTTCAGCATAATTTGCAAATGTCGAGTCTTGTGCGGAAAGTTGGTTTTGTTTGTTTATACAATAGTGTTCCAACATTTTGCATCTGTTCAATCTCGTTCTCTTCAATAGTTTATCAGATAATTGAATATTTTGTGTTTTTTTATAGATAAAAAAAAAAAGTCTGTCCATTAACAACACATACCTGTATTGCCTGCCGGCAAATTGTATGAATAATTCTAAGTTTGTAGCGGAGGATAAGTCTAACATGTTAATGTAATACTTGACATGACGTATCGTTTATTGCTCATTCTGTAAAGAGCTGTTCAGATAAAATATAGTTTCCTTATACTTTTTGTTTTTTATTTTTACATTGTTCCAGGAACAACTTTCATCTTTTCAACTTACTAAAGCTCAGTTATTAGTGTTTGAGAATTAGATACATCAAAAGTCGTATGATCTAGAGACCTACCGATTACAACTGCTTCCTTAATGTCAGACTTTGATTAAATAATCCCGCTGCATTTGTTTGCACCTGTCCCAAGTCAGGATACTGTTTCAGTGGTTGTCGTTTGTTGATATGGTTCTTAAGTGTTTCTCGTTTCTCGTTTTTTATATAGATTAGACTGTTGGTTTTCCTGTTTGAATGGTTTTAAACTTGTCATTTTGGGGCCCTTTATAGCTTGCTGTTCGGTGTGAGCCAAGGCTCCGTGTTGAAGGCCGTACTTTGACCTATAATTGTTTACTTTTTACAAATTGTGACTTGGATGGAGAGTTTCTCATTGGTATTCATACTACATCTTCTTATTTGTATATAGTATGGAACGCTTAGACCCTTGACATATTGTCCGTTTTGAATTCATCTGTGTTAATAATATTTTCTTATATTTCATAGGCATTCGTGCAGAATTAACAAATTGGTTTGGATAGAAATAATCCTACTCACCATTGCAAGTCAGTATACACACAGCGGTTCAAATAGAATAACTGATTATATATCAAAACACATTATCTATGCTAAAAGAAACTAAGAAAACACTATAATTGAATAGCTTTTTTTTTTTTTTTTTTTGGGGGGGGGGGGTCTTTTGTTGAGTCTTCTATAGACCAAACGCGCGTCTGGAGTACAAAAATTCAATCCTGGTATCTAAGATGAGTTTATTGATTGTCAACATGTTCTTTCATGAAACATTAAAACTGTATTAATCATAAGACTACTTTGCATGAATGATAATTTTTTTTTATATTTGTTTATACAAAGAAATGTCACACAACAAACACAGTACTATTAATTAGTGTATTGTTAAGCATGCATAATTCGTATAATTGCAAAGCGATAGTATTAATGCAAAGGAATACAATACAGCAATAACATGTGACCTTTTTTTTATTTTTGAACATTCAAATACGAAATTAATGAAGAATTTTGATCTGTTTTGTAGGGGTCTTATAACAACTCAATTTTCAAATAGTTACAGACTTTGCAAGGAGGTTTTTCAACCCGAAATGGGTTAACAGATGTATTGATATTCATTTGTATAAGGTCGATTTCTATCCGACGCAGCTCATGTTTTGGTAATGATAACGTATCACACTTAATTCAAGGAGTACATCAGCTGTTTTTATAATACGATTTATCCTGTACGACTGTCGTATTATAACATATTTATACACGGTATTAATTATTCTACTGAACATTTGCTCATGCGCAGACAGTGATAAATATTCGAGTGTTGCTCGTTAGATGCAGTACCTGTTTATAGAACATCACACTGGCTAAGTTTAAAATGTAGTATAAAAAACGAAGATTGTGTTACGTAATAACGTAACGCTTTTGATAGTGTCAGACATACAATTTCTAGAGATACTGGTAACTAGCCCATTTTAATAAACAATTGGTACGAGGTTCAACAATTATGTCCATACCAAGATTCTTCATACATGTAGTCAACACATTGTTGTAAATATAACAAAATTCTATACGATTGTCATACAATTGAGAGGGTTAACTAGCTATACAACCAAGTTTAATCCACCATTTTCTGCATAAGGAAATGCCTGTATGAAACCAGGAATAAAACAATTGTTTTCTATTCCTTTGATTTGTTTAAGCTTTAGATTTCACAATTTGATAAGGGACTTTCCGTTTTGAATTTTCCCTGGAGTTCGGTATTTTTGTTATGTTACTTTGTAAGTATTTAGTGAAAAAAAATTTGCATGGATGAAAACAGCGATCAGTTAAGCTAGCAAGTACACATATTTACATAATTGAGAAAAAGTAAATAAAGAACGTGAAAACATAATTGTGTTAAATAATACATTTCCTGCCGAATATCAAACCAAATGAACATAATCACTGCTAACTGTATAATTAATGCTTAAATACATTGATGAATCATTACAATAAGAAATATATAACGTAATCTACTTCAATGAGATACTCCATCGTCGTTTGTCTAAAATTAATGATATTACTAAATGCAGTGAATTATCTTAATTTATTCAACTGTTAATCAATTTAAAATTAAGAAATATAAACCTGTTTTAAATTTCTATTTTTAACAAAATTTAGATCTATCACTTAAAAACACTTTTCATAAATCCTTTTAAAAACAATTAGAATATCGAATGTATTAAGTATACGTACGTATTTCATGGTTTTCATCATGAATAAATACACTATATATTGTTCCTGTATTATTGTAAATGACATGCGCTGATACTCCTGGTGTCACATTAAGTAAAGAATTACCATTTGCAATGTACACGTTGCCTCGGTACACATGGATATCTTGGTTTGTATTGTTTGTATTTGTGTTTAAAACCGTTATGACACTACTTCCATTTAATGTTGATGATTTCAAGAACCCATTATTGAATTCCATCCAATAAAGGCGATCTTTATCATTATCTAATGAAGAAAAAAAATTCGGCCGATTACATGAATGTGACATCGATTTGAAAACAATCTTATTGTACCCAACATAGTATACTTTGATTTATATGAATACCTTCAAACAGACTGTGTTTCCAATTCCTTGTTCGGTTAATCCAAGGCACTGATATTCAATAAACATGTCTTCAGATGATCATATTAAAATATGTGTTAGATATCAAAAGGGAACAATATTTTTTAAGTCATATAAAGTCAACAACACCATGGCAAAAAAAAAATACAAATATATCTGCAGGAACATTAATATACAAAACGATACCGGGAAAAGTAAAGACTGATAACACGAATATAACAATCAACCATGTGTTTTCTTAAATGTTGTGGAAATCAAAGCAGTGGTTGTATTCAGATAACGACATTCTACAATCTTTTTTTAAACTTAAAAGTGAATGGTGATAGAACATGTTTGAATGACACAAGTATTAGAAAAAAAACATCAAAGATGATATGCTTAAAATTCTATTTGACAAACACGCATGCTTTTAAAAAAAATCCTGTCCAATGTTTTACCAGTCCAATTATCCGGTAATCAAATTAACTGCTTTTACATAATTTGATTGCATTTATTTGAAGTATCGAAATATATTTATCAATGTGTTTATTACAAAACAATGTGACAATCACCTTGGTTTTACAAGGGGTTGTTTATTTGTGTGTGTCTTACACCTGACAAGTACACATAATTCGTATAAATATTACAAAATGGTTGATTATCAAAATCATAGTAAAGTATAAATGAACATATATTTTGTGTACATGGGCAGTTGGATGCGTTACATACTAAAGTACAGTCAGTTCTATTTCTACAAAAACCGTAAAAACATTAGTTATCAAATTGCAAGGGATCATCCTTATTTTGTAATGTATGGCTAAAATGATTATGTGACATGTGACAAATTATATAGCATTTCCGTTGTTAGTGTTATTATTTTAAGACAACATACCAATGCTCATACCAGTAACTAGTTCTGATTGAACATTTATGATTGTTTGATTTTCAGAAGCGTTAAGTTTCAATCGCCTAATTGATTTTTTTGTACCATCCGTACTGTAATACAGCCATCTGAAATTTAAATAAATAAAACGATGATTGCCTGAAGTAAAACAGTAAATATATGTGTAGCATTTCTGACATAGGGAAGAACGACTGAAATCGATACTTCATAGGTTTTACCGTCACCAACACCTATTTGTTGAGTAAAACAATATGTCGTGACTCTAGGTTTTACAGTCTTAGATCCTAAAATACAATTATAATCGTCTCACTGATTCTTGATTAAATATGTTGACTGAGTGTGGATTCGAATGGCAGGCTGAACATGCCTAGCAAGAGACGTATTTCCTGTCGATACAAAAAGTCTCGGTCTTTTTGGAATTCATGAGATTCCCTCAGTTTTTGTACGCTACCTTGATTTGTTTTGTTAAGGATTGATTTGATATGAAACTACCGTTATCTTAAGCAATACACTGCCTACATTAGACATGTCAGGTAATTTCTTCAATTATAGGGTTTCGTTCAATATTATCAGATATGACAAAGAACATTATGAATAGATAGTAGCTATACAAATACAGGGAAATAGTACGATAGGGACATTATATGTCGCGAAAAAGGCGGTTCGAAGAATGCTTGTTAATATCGAAGGGGATATTGCGACTCAACATATCTTTCTGTCTGCAATTGGAAAATGATAAAAGAGTAACACAACGGATATTTTTGCATTGATAAAAAAAATGCTCTTTTGTAACACTATTATTGTAAATAGAAATAAAAAGATTTGGTATGAGTGCCAATGAGACAACTCTCCATCCAAGTCACGATGTGTGAAAAGTAAACAATTATAGGTCAAAGTACGGCTTCAACACGGAGCCTTGGCTCACACCGAACAGCAAGCTATAAAAATCCCCAATATGACTAGTGTAAAACAATTCATATAGGAAAACCAACGGTCTAATCTATATAAAAAACTACGTTGATATGTTATTTGATATCTTTTTTTAGTTTAACGTGTTTTTGTAATTTTCTAATACAAACCTGTTCCGATAATCAAATGTGAGAGCAAAGAGTGGATCATCCTTCAATATAACTGATTTTAGTGACCCATCTAAATTACATCTACAAAGCTTCCCGGTGGATCGTTCTGTCCAATACACATGGTTATATAAAGGGTCAATCACCAAACCTACTGGTCTGCTTGCAAAAGTAACAGGTACTAAATCCGTCATTTGTCCTGGTGGATATCGAAATCTTAAAGAACCAAAAATTATAAACAAATGTGTAAACTATAACGATATATAATTGCATTCACATTGTATAAGCGTTGAAACAAAAATTGAACTTCGTAAGATATGCAAATATTTAAAAAGAAATGGTTATGCTTCAATTCTAGAATTCAAGTGTTTATGCCGTGTAACCATCAAAACGATAGTAGTACTTACCTTAAACATGTAATTTGATATTCCGTAATGTTACATTATGCAAATAATGAGTGATACTGTCTAAATATGGTAGGTTATGAATATCTCCACTTTTGAAAATCGTTTAACACTAGCAGTTTTCCAACTTAATTTGTTGAAGACACATTTTGAGCATGTATGACATTATAGAATATGCAAAACTTCCACATAGTACTGTATTGTTAAAGTTAGAATGGTTAAAATTTGTTTCAATGGTATTCAAAATATTGTCTGATTATAGTTGAAAGTAACTAAAAAATGGTCATCAACCTCTTCATACCTTTGTTTATCATTTTTTGTATATCTTGAAAAATATATATATCCATTTCTATAATCATAGTCTACAGAATAGATAAAGCTATGAAGGTCAGTCTGAAGTTCCAATTCTTCTCCATTTTGCAAGTTAAGTTCTTTGATAGTACCATAAGTCGAAATGATAAGTTTATTTTGAAAACCTGAAATTGAAATTCAACATATCCACTGTTAATTTTACAACTTGTCAATAGTTTGTTGCAACATAAAGTCAAAAATACTCATTCACCTCTGCTATCTATGCATTAGTTATCATTTAAATCAAAAGCATTTGGCCCATACTCTTATAGTATTACATAATAAAATAGTGATCAGAATTACAAGAGAAAACAAGAAAAACGAATGAAATCGTTATAAATGTAACAACGTATTGCGTATCTTTTTTTTACACTAGACGCAGACTAATTTATCGTCTAACAGAATCTTTGAGGATTGCTGATAGTAATTTGTCCCTGACCAAGATTTATATATACATATCAATATCAACAGATAGACGTGGCTTTAAGCAAGAGTTTATTATATAAAGATGCTTCTAATATATCTATAACGAAAGACAATTCTTTTATATTATATGTGTATCAGAAATTTTTAAATATGATACACTGATTTGAAAAATTATTGAGAAGTGTTGAATTTATTAATTTGCATAATACGTAATAGCACATTCACAAAAATTACACATTGAATGTGACAAACAGAAACACAGAGAGAGAGAGAGAGAGAGAGAGAGAGAGAGAGAGAGAGAGAGAGAGAGAGAGAATGAAAGAGAGAGAAATACAACAGAAATAATCGAAAATTGTACGATTAGGTATAAGAAACAGGATAAACATATACGATTTTTACAACTTGATAAAATGAATTTGTAGTCCGTATCGTTAAACAAACATGTAATACTAAATACAGTCACTAAAAAACTATGATTATCATATTATCCTTATAATTATATAAAATAACTGATGCTGTTTAAATTATGTTCATTACTTACCTTGACATCTTAAGCAGAGGCAAATAATCAATTCAGAGATAGTCAACATATCTTTTAACATCTTGTTGAAATCTACAGTGCATTGAAAAGCTATTAATAGTATTATCTTTTTTTATTTTTAAATTACTGATCTATTGTTGTTGTTTTTGTTGTCTGTACATGTCGTTTAGTGTTGACGTATAATTTTGTGAGAAGTTTCTTATTTTAATCGAATCATTTAATAAAAGTCTCATCAACTGACTGTGTTTGTATTGGTCATTTAAAAGATTCTCGATCAGCTGTATTAGCCCTCGATTCTTCGTGTGCTGGGGCCTATACAGCTTACCTGGAATCTATAATAGGACCAATACAAAAACAGCCAGTTAATGACACTATATTATATATATATATATATATATATATATATATATATATATATATATATACGTGCCTATAAATAGCAGCACATGACATACAAATCTATGGGAGTGTGGATTAATCAGTACAGAGATTAATTCAATTACACACATAAAATTATAGATTGCCTAACAATGTAATTTTAACACACTATTTAGTATGTAAATATAAGAATGTTTAAAATATTAACAAAATGATGAAAATAAACGCAATATTTCGCTAGACTAACTAGCTTTATCAAGCGTGCATCTATCCAGGTGAAATCGGATGTAGATGATAAGAAACTTTTGCAGCTCAATGTATATGTTGCACTTGAATTTAGCTGCCTTGAAAATAATACATAATTTGGATGAAGTTCAAGATTTTTACAAAATTGGTAGTTGAAGTTAGCAACGTCCATTGGCCAATATTACAGGATAAAAAGGACGATGCTGTGTACTAAATTATTCTTTATCTTTCCTGTATCTTTTCTCATCTTTTTCGTTAAGACCATCAGGTTCAAAAGTGTGGAGTTGGTGGATCCAAAAATTTTCTCTTCTCCTTCTCGCCGTGGTGTCCCACTCGGTGTTGACTTCTATGATTTGGAAGAAGAAAAGAAAAGAAGAGAAAATTTTTGGATCCACCAACTCCACACTTTAGAACCTGATGGTCTTAACGAAAAAGATGAGAAAAGATACAGGAAAGATAAAGAATAATTTAGTACACAGCATCGTCCTTTTTATCCTGTAATATTGGCCAATGGACGTTGCTAACTTCAACTACCAATTTTGTAAAAAATCTTGAACTTCATCCAAATTATGTATTATTTTCAAGGCAGCTAAATTCAAGTGCAACATATACATTGAGCTGCAAAAGTTTCTTATCATCTACATCCGATTTCACCTGGATAGATGCACGCTTGATAAAGCTAGTTAGTCTAGCGAAATATTGCGTTTATTTTCATCATTTTGTTAATATTTTAAACATTCTTATATTTACATACTAAATAGTGTGTTAAAATTACATTGTTAGGCAATCTATATATATATATATATATATACAAGTCTAAATTGAAAACAACGTTCAAACCTATGATTGCGTTGGATAAAAACCGCAATTTTTATACGTGTGCATGCAAAACAAATTTCTTGTTAGAGGGGTCTAAATACAGCACAAACAACATTTTCCAAAAGATCAAAAAAGTGAAAAAGTATATTTTAACAAAACGCATTTGACTAACAGGTCGAACAACAAATGTTCTTAAATCCTGCTGACTGCCATTATATATATATATATAAAACGTCTGAATAATTGTCAACGATTTTTCCCACGAGGGCGCTGGATCGTTACGAGTAACGATACATGTACACAATAAATAAATTATATAAACGCCTAAAAAGTGTACACAACAACACCAATAACAAAAAAAGGAACTATAAATGTAATTATTTATAAATATTTCGGATAACAGATATCCTTCATCAGTAAATATGATTGTGTTGTTGAATGAATCATATATCAGTCTACTTAAATTAAACTTTAACAATCTTGAAATTTATACAATAAAAAAGTCAAACCGAACATCAGGTAAGACGCTTGCACAATTCTAAATATGTGTTAAACACGACATAGGTTAAATGACTAATTACAGCAGAGAGTTTAAATATATGCTTTAAATAAAAATTATATGTGCGATATGAACTAGCACAATTCTAAAGCTTTAACGGTGACGACAGTTATGATGTTACAAGAACGATTGCGTCAATAAGAATTCCAAATAAACAGCACTGAACGATCTAAATTTGTAAATATTTCAAATTTGACACGGTAGAGTAGTTACAACAGAGTCTGCGTATTTAAACATCGCAAACAAACGGCCGTTAAAATATGATAATAAATTTTGACTAAGGTTAACTAGTTGAACGTGGCTTGGCACTTTTACATCCCTCAAAAAATTAAGCAATTTAAATTGGTATATTCAACAGATTTTAGAGATGAGTAAAGTAAAGAAATAGAAACAGAGACTGTAATAATAAGTAATATAACCCAAATGTGAAGCACTGCATGGAGTCGAACTACATCTTTTCATTTATCCCATTTGGTGCCAAAGTTGTTAATTTTCTTATCCAAAATCTTTCCCGAGTGAGTCTACCTTCCCTAGACCAAGCAGAGTTGTGGTCAATGATTGTAATGGTCAGTCGATTAAGATCTGCCTTAGTGTGGCCAGGGGATCATTGGGCTTGCATTGGTAGTCGCTACGATGACCGTTCATTCGTTTGTGAAACGGCTGTTCTGACTCGCCAACATACTGTTTACCACATTTACACTGTAGGAGATACACAACATTTGTAGTCTTGCAATAAACATTGCAAAATATGGTGTATTCTGTACCAGTGAAGTGACTGTTAAAAGTCTGGGTAACCAGTATTTGTTTGCAAGTCAGACATCGTTTGTTCCCGCAACCCTTGCAAGAGCCCACAGACGAAGAGCCTGCTTGGGAGGATAAAACAGCTCTCACCAGCAAGTCTTTAAGGCTTTTGGGCCTACGGAAAGCCAGTACAGGTGGCTCGGGAAAGATCTTGGATAGTTTAGGATGTTTTTCGATTTCTTTCCAATTTTCGCGGATTAGGTGAGATAAGTTGTCAAATTTTGGATGGTAAGTCAACACAAAAGGCACCCTCCTGTTCACCTTTTTGACTTTATATTGTAAAAGTTCATCTCGGCTGATGTTGTTAGCACGAGAAAAACCTTTATGAATGTCGTTTCTTTTGTAGCCCCGATGTTTTAGGTGACCGCAAAGTTCTTGTAGTCGTTTTTTGCAATATCGTTGGTGGAGCAAATCCTTTTTATTCGTATGGCCTGGCTGTAGGGAATGCTCTTGGTGCAATGTTTAGGGTGACAACTCAAAGGAGATAGATATTGATGTTTGTCTGTGGGCTTGCAATACAGATCTGTAAATATGTTTCCATCCCTCACTTGCGTTGTAGTGTCAAGAAATGTGATCTTAGAGTCAAAGATTTCATATGTGAATTTTATTGAGGGATGTGCATCGTTGGCATGTTGAATGAACAAATTTAGTTCTTGTTCAGTATTATCCCACTTCATGTCAATATCATCGATAAATCGGAACCAAGAGAGGGGTTGATAAAGAGAAGAATTGAGAATTCTCTGTTCTAATTTCCCCATAAAAATATTGGCATAAGACGGGGCCATCTTTGTTCCCATTGCTGTTCCATTAACTTGGAGAAAGTGTTCACCATTGAATGTGAAGTTATTGCATTGTAATACCAAAGTTAGAAGCTGGATGAGACATTCAGTCGGTGGATGTAAGGTGTTACGAGAGTTCCAGACTCCCCTACAGGCTTCAATACCATCATCATGGGGGATGTTAGTATAGAGGGAGGTAACATCAAGCGAGACAAGGATCGTTTCAGGTGGGAGAGGGTTCAAAGATTCCATTTTCTCAAGATAATGCGTTGTGTCTTGTATATAGGATGGTAAATTTTCCACATGTGGTCTCAGATGAAAGTCAATAAATTCTGATATTTTCTCTGTAGGGTGGTCATTGGCCGACACAATTGGTCTACCTGGATTATTGACTTTATGTATTTTGGGCAGAAGATAGAAACGCCCCGGCTTTGATTTTTCAGGTTTTAGATATTCAAATGTGTTTTCATCAATATGTCCCTGTTCACACATGTTTTTCAGGTTTGTGGTGATCTCTTTGCTGAATTGAGGGGTGGGGTCAGAGTCTAATTTCTTATAAGAGAGTTGACGTTCTGCCTCTTGAATGTCGTCACATTTGTCCATGACAACAACAGCGCTACTTTTATCTGCTGGTTTTATTATAATGTCGTCTCTGTTTTTAAGTAGCCGCACAGCTTCATTTTCTTCAGACGATAAATTGTTGAATGTTTGGGAAGTGGCAGTGGACAGATGTGTTACGTCGGATTTAATTTTGTCAATAATATGTTCTAAAGTAGCACATTTACTGGGTTTAGGAATCCATGAACTTTTTTTCCTGAATCTGGGAATATCGACATCTTCTTGGTCGTCATCTGAGTCGAGATCACTTGTGTGGCCTTATCAGTGGTACTTTTTGTGGTGTCCTTGGAAAAATATTCCTTGATTCTGAGGGATCTTGCTAAATTGTCTAGGTCATCTTCCAAAAGTATAGAATCTATTTTGCCCGGCGTGGGACAAAAATTAAGACCTTTTGACAGTACCTTAGTCTCGGTCTCCGACAAAGCAACTGAAGACAAATTGACTACAGTGTTTGTAGAGTCCATACAACTTTGTTTTGTTCTCCTGAATCGGCGATTCCGGGATTTTTTTCCGGTTATGATGGTACGATTGAGAGTTAAGGTGGTCTGCTCTCTTACAACAGTATCTAAAAGTACGCCGTCTCGTTTAAATTTGTTAATTTGTTTTTTGTGTAATTTCTGGGATTCAATGCGCAAGATGTCATGGAGGCGCTCGCTGATGGTGAGCAATTCAGGACCGGAAAGTTCTTGGCATGATTTGTTGTAAAGATGGTTATAACTAGTTTGTAATCCCGAGTGAGTCTATCCTCCCTAGACAAAGCAGAGTTGTGGTTAATGATTGTAATGGTCAGTCGATTGAGATCTGCCTTAGTGTGGTCAGGGGATCTCAAATGTCGACTGAGAGGGAGGTCTGGCTTGCATTGGTAGTCGCTA